ACACACACACACACACACACACACACACACACACACACACACACACACACACACCTCTAAGAGAAATTAAGAACTACAAGTTAGAAAATTCACCCAAAGTTTAGTAAGTACTACAACCACTGTCAAATTTGCGTTCATTTATCCCTGCAACTTAATTCACTTAGTCTGGCTATTTAGTTTGCTCCAAAGATTACATGACTGCACCCCCATGTGTTGAGATTTTAGGAAGGCTGCCACACCCTCCAAGCCCTCATGTTTAGGCAACAAGCATTTTTCACCTGTGAGCTATCTTCCTAGCTGAATATTTTATTAGTTTTTATCTTATTCCTAAATATTCTCAGTAGAAACAGAAATTACCTAGTTACTAAAAGGTCAATTCCTGAATCATTATCATAGAATGACTATCAAAGCTAGAAATGTTAATAAAGCAAAACAAAACACAAGGATGGCATTTCTACAGGCTCTTCTTTTGGAGGTAGGGGAAAGGGTCCCATTGTGTAGCTCCGGCTGGCCTGGCTAAATGTAGATCCATCTGCTTCTGTCTCCTCAGTGCTGGAATAAAGGCCTGTGACACCACACCTGACCTTTGCTTAACATGAAGTCACATGTAACACCAGCTCACCATGAGCTGGGACCCTATTACTGCCACTTCCTCAGTGCTAGGATTACAGGTAGGTACCATTAACCTCATTTTGTGTTATTAGGTCTTACTTTTTAGTCCTTAAAATTAAACACCCTAAAAACCATTATAATCAAACTGCCAAATTACTTTCCTCTCAGTTCCTCGAACCTCACATAGTATAGTTTTAGAAAAGCCCTAGGAGCCATTTCTCCAGCCCTTAAAACAGTTACGATGTGAGTAACTTTAGATTTAAAAAACAAAAAAAAAAATTACCGTCAGGCAGTGGTGGCACAGATCTTTAATCCCAGCACTTGGGAGGCAGAGGCAGGTGGATTTCTGAGTTCGAGGCCAGCCTGGTCTACAGAGTGAGTTCCAGGACAGCTAGGGCTACACAGAGAAACCTGTCTCAACCTCCCTCAACTAGAGAGGCAAAGAAAAAAAGCATGGGGGCTGGAGAGATGTCTCAGTGATTAAAAGCACTGACTGCTTTTCCAGAGGTCCTGAGTTCAAGTCCCAGCAACCACATGGCGGCTCACAACCATCTGTAACGGGATCCAATGCCCTCTTCTGGTGTGCATGAAGACAGCTACAGTGTACTTATATATATGTAAAATAAATAATTCTTAAAAAGTAAAAATTACCCTCTCCAAATTACAGATACAAAACAAACTTCACAGTTATATTGAATAACACATTCTATCTTAATATGAAAGCCAATAAATTATTTTATACAGAATATATCAGATGTGAGTTCTAAAAGGAAGAGTTATGGGAGCTGAGCAGATGGCAGAGCTAGTAAAAGGCTTGTCCCACAACTGTGCAGGCATGAAGACCTGAGTTTGAGCCTCAGTGCCCAAGTAAAACTAGACAAAACAAACAAAGAGTGGGCCAGTGAGATATTTTACTGGGTAAAGTCTCTTGACTCCAATCTGACAACTTGTTGGATTCTTAGATCCTATATAGTAGAGAGAACTGATCCTTGCAAGCTGTCCTAACTTCTGCATGAGCTGTAGCAAACACATACACACACGCACACTGAAATCTGGAATTTATTTTTTTTAAAGTTAAGCCAGGAATGGTAGTTCATAAATTTAATCCCTGAACCCAGGAGAGAGGCAGTAGGATCTCTGAGAGGTCAGCCTGGTTTATATAGTGAGTTTTAGAGCAGCTATGATTACACAGTGAGACCCATAAATGACATTTTTTTAAGGGGAAGAAAGAAAGAAAGAAAGAAAGAAAGAAAGAAAGAAAGAAAGAAGGGAGGGAGGGAGGGAGGGAGGGAGGAAAGAAAATGGTTCTCCGGTGTTTGCCACCTAACCAATCTAGCTGAATTGCTGAGCTCCAGGGTCAGTTAAAAAAAAAAAAATCATTTATTTATTTTTCCCCCAAAAAATAAGGTAGAGACCAACAGGAAGATAGCTTTGGCCTCCAGGTACATCAGTACAGACTCACAGAGAAAGCTAAATTTATCTGAATACAAGGCAAACAATACAATTTATTGCTTACCAGGATTGTGATGAACCGCTAATTTTCCATTCTGAACTGCATCTGTGACATCAATCCTACCCGGATTAAACGGTCCTAGTACAGTCTTCATCTGTGAAGTTAAAGATGAGGTGTAAGTTTGTATATTAACTCTAAATCCTTAGTGACATCTCCCAAGTTGGTCCTCTATAGTGATGTACAATCATTAAATTCCTCTCTCACCCAGCACTTAGGGCTTACACTCACTTCTAAAGGTGAAACTATAGTAACCCTTCCTGAGTTTACCTTGCTTCTTGATAGACTGGCAATGGTACTATTTTTATTTCCATGAGGTCCCCATTCAATTAAATTGGTAGGATTTTTCTCCTCCCCTCCATTTGTGTCTGTGTCCCCTTCATCATCAATTACAATTGTTTCACATATATTTCCCTTCTGAGAAGTCAAATCTCTCGAGGAAGGGGTAACTGTGGAATAATTTCCTCGTGGATCTTCATGTTTTGAGGATGGAAATACAAAGTTTCCTTCATTAGGTATTTCTGGAGCACAAACTGAAGGCTGTGATGATTCAATAAACACAACATCATCATCTTCCACAGGTGCGTATCCAGATGTACTGGCTGAAGAACTACGTGGACCACCAGATGATTCCACATCTGCAGGATGGGCTTCCATGTCCAAGTCCAATGTACAGTCAACTAGTCTCTCCACCAGAGAATCTGTAAGAGACAGAGGAAAGAGGGTTTTTAATTTTCCTACAACAATTTTAATAATTTTACTAATATAGAAATAATAATTTTAATAATACTGGTAACATTTTAAAAAACGTTTATGTGATATTCATTCTGTTTTTCCTGTTAACCACTTTTCTGTGGAGTTTGATAGAAAATATGCAATTTGATAGTCCCTAAAAAAGTCAATTATTCTCACTTTGTGCTACTTTCCACTCACAACAAAAATAGCCTAAGTTTCCTTTGAATTTAAAATAACAAAATTTTGACTGTTCAGAGTGTCTATTAGTCTCATTCATATAAGACCTCCATTCAGTTTCTAGCACCTATACCAGGGGAACCACAGCTGCCTGGAACTCGACCTCCAGAGACTCCGACATCTTCTGAACTCCACAGGCACTTGTACCCACATAACCACACAGAAACACAAGTTACAGAAATAAACTGGAGGGGGCTGGAAAGATGGCTCAGTGGTTAAGAGCATTGGCCGCTCTTCCAGAGTACTCAGGTTCAATTCTCAACACCCACATGGCAGCTCACAACTGTCTTTAGCTCCTGTTCCAGGGATCCAACACCCTCACACAGACATCTTTGCACCCTCACACAGACGTTTTTGCAGTCAAAACACTAATGCACATTAAATAAATAAAATTTTAAAATGTTAAAAGAAGAAAAAGAAAGCTGGGCATGGTATGACAGGCCATTAATCCCAGCAGAGACAGTAGATCTCTAATTTTGAGGCCACCTTGGTCTACAGAGAGTGCCAGGACAGCCAGGCTACATAGGGAAACCTTGTCATAAAAACAAAACAAAACAAAACAAAACAAAACAAAACAAAACAAAGCAAACTAGAAAATCCCTGAGTTCCAGGCCAACCTGGGGTCTACCTAGCACAGTGGTTTTTCAACCTGAGGGTCATGACATCTTTGGACTTGCACATTATTTAAATTATAACTCATAACAGAAGCAAAACTACAGCTAGGAAGTAACAACAATAATAATTTTATGGGTAGTGACACAGCATCAGGAAGGTTGACAACGACTGACTTAGCAAGTTCCAGTACAACCATGTCTAGCTAGATAAAGAGATCTTGTCTCAAAACAACAAAAAAGCAAAAGACCATAAAACAAAAAAGTCCTGCTGGGTGGTGGTAGCACATACCTTTAATCCGAGGCCTCCAGAGACTGAAGCTTAAATTCAGATGTCTCTGAGTTCAAGACTAGTCTGGTCTATAAAACAAATCCCAGCACAGCCAAGGCTACACAGAAAAACCTTGTCTCAAAAAGTCAAAACCAAACCAACCAAACAAAAAACAAAAAAATTTAAATTACATCTCAATTACTGTCAGGTATAAAATGAAACTCTGGACAAACGGCTCACTGTGGTACCTATTAGCATACAGAAATGTCTGCTGACCTCCAGGTTCGCTCAGTACCTGTAGCTCCTCTCACTCTGCTCCTTACCCCAAACTTCTCCATTCTCCCAGCTTCTCATTCCTAGATAGGCCTGCCATGTTGGCCATGTGCTCTCTTGGTCCCGTCTCTTCTGCACCCTCCTTTCAGCCCCATGGCCCACTCTATTCTGCTGGCCATGTTCAGTCTACTTTCTCTCCCTGCTGTAGACTCTTCCAGACACTCTGGCTGTACTCTCTCTCATACCTACAATAAAAACCTTCTCCTCAACTGTGCAATCATGTCCTCGTTTCATTCAATTGCATGTTTTCAATGAGTTGTTTAGAATTTCGATGTTTGCTATATGTTGTTTTTATTTGCAGATTTTTTTTCAAATAATAAAACTCACAGCATTCGTAAACATTAAAAAATTGCATCTCGCCGGGCGGTGGTGGCGCACCTCTTTAATCCCAGCACTTGGGACGCAGAGGCAGGCGGATTTCTGAGTTCGAGGCCAGCCTAGTCAACAGACTGAGTTCCAGGACAACCAGGGCTACACAGAGAAAGAGAAATCCTGTCTCAAAAAACCAAAAAAAAAAAAAAAAAAAAAAAAACCAGAAATTATGCTTAGGGGTTACCACAACACGAGGAACTGCAATAAAGGGTCACAGCATTAGGTAAGTTCGGAACCACTGTTTTGCTTTCTTCAGACAGTGTTATTAGGGTATACTATGTGAAGATATGTCTCTGTATATTCAGTTGTTAATTCTGTACTAGCAGAGAGCTAAATGTTGGCAGGATTTTAGAACCGTTATTTCTATGGCCCATCATTGGTCTCTTTTTTTCTTTTGGTTTTTCGAGACAGGGTTTCTCTGTATAACCCTGGCTGTCCTGGAACTTACTCTGTAGACCAGGCTGGCCTCGAACTCAGAAATCCACCTGCCTCACTGGTCTCATATTCTGTAAATATTCCATCTTCCTCACCTGGTCAATAGCTGGGCAAGAAGTGGAAGGTGGATCTTCTGGGCAGCCAGCACACATGGAAGTAAACAGACAGACCAGAGCTGAGCATAAGATACAGATCTGGCCACACAGCAGAAAATAATTACAGGAGTAGTCAGGTTAGAGTAGCCAGCAGACTGCTCAGCAAAAGGACAGTTTTAAAATACTAATAAGCCGCCGGGCGGTGGTGGCGCACGCCTTTAATCCCAGCACTTGGGAGGCAGAGACAGGCGGATTTCTGAGTTCGAGGCCAGCCTGGTCTACAGAGTGACTTCCAGGACAGCCAGGACTATGCAGAGAAACCCTGTCTTGAAAAACAAAAAACAAAACAAAACAAAACAAAAAAATACTAATAAGCCTCTGTGTTATTTATATCGTTGGTGGGTATTTATATCAAGATAGTTCTGCTATACAGGTTTCTCTGCACAGTAGTCCCGACTATCCTGGAACTTGCCCTGTAGACCAGACTAGCCTCAAACTCAGTCTCCCAAGTGCTGGGATTAAATATGTGTGCCACCAAGGTCCAGCAAGAACCAGTCTTTTAAAGTGTATGTATTTTTCAAAATGTTTAATTGTGTGGGTGTTCCTGAGTATATGCAACATGTATGTGCACCATAAGCATGCAGGAGGCCTGAGGAAGTGAGAAAAGGCATCAGGTCCCCTGGAATTGGAACTACAGGCTATTGTGAACTGTCATGTAACTACTAGGACTCAAACCCAGGTCTCCTACAAGACTACCAAGAGCTTTAACCTGCTCTAGCTCCTCATATGCCTTTAAATTTTTTTTTTCCAAGACAGGGTTTCTGTTTAGCTCTGGCTGTCCTGAAACTTGATCTATAAATGCACCTCCAAACCCAGTGCAATCTCCAATCTTAAAAGGCAGACAGAATTCTACAGTTTGACACTGCTCTAACTTTAAAACAGTGCATCTGATGGGTACTGGAGTGATGTCTCAGCAGTAAGGATATCTGAGTGATGTCTCAGCAGTAAGGATATCTGCTGCTTTTCTAGAGGGCCAGAGTTCTGATCCCAGCACCCAGCTGATCCTAGATCACAACAACTTCCTGTACCTTCGGCTCCAGTGGACCCAACACCTTTTTTTGCTTTCTCAGGAGATCGCGCTCTCTCTCTCTCTCTCTCTCTCTCTCACACACACACACACACACACACATTCTCTCTCTCACACACACACACTCTTTCAATATATTTTTTTAAAGATTTATTTATGAATGTGAGTACACAGTTGCTGTGATCAGACATACCAGAAGAGGGCATCAGATCCCATTACGGATGGTTGTGAGCCACCATGTGGTTGCTGGGAATTGAACTCAGAACCTCTGGAAGAGCAATCAGTGCTCTTAACCACTGAGCCATCTCTCCAGCCATCAATATTTTTTAAAAGTAAGAAATACATGTCTATGAAGTACTATATAAGAAATTAAAGGGCTGGAGAGATGGCTCAGTGGTTAAGAGCACTGGCTTCTCTTCCAAGGGACTGGGAGTCCCCACACTCCCAAGTGCAGTTCATAACTTGTCTAGTTCTAAAGGATCCACTGCCCTCTTCTGGACTTCTTGAGCACTGCAGCCAAATGGCACACAGACGTGCATGCAGCAAAACACCTATATGTGTAAAATATAATCTTTTTAAAACAGAAAAAAAAACCTGTAATTCATTTTCCTCAACCTTAAAACATGTCAGTAATTTAAAAAAAAATCTTTCATCTTTATTTTAAATAGCTGTTTAGTGCAAGAGCAGAAAGAAATCTGGAAAGGAACACAAAAATGTTAAGCGCACAGCGTTTTACAAATAACTCACAGGATTCCTAAAAGACAGCAATGTTAGTAGTACTCACTAACACATTACTAAGGTGTGTGTCTTCCCACAGATCACACTTTTTCAGCAGAAATAATTCAAGCAGCAACTCTTCAACAAAATAGAAAGCAGTCTATTCTAGTAACTTTAAACAGAAAAGCTATGGCAAAATGGCTCACAATGGAGATGTTTCCCGTATTTCTGCCAAACGCTTGACCAGAGCCGCTTGAAGATCCTTAGAATAAAAGGAAATTTAAAAACAAACAAACAAAACACACACACACACACCCGTGAGCATCAACAGCTCAGAAATAACACCAAACCCTGAACGCCAGAGGAGGAAATAAATCGAGGTGAAGTTATTCCCAAGCTGTTCTATCAACCTTCTACAGATAAACAATAGAGATCAACAATTTAAAAAAACGACAGCAGGCCAAGCTCAATATACTCTTTCCAGTTTCAGAATTAGGAATAGAGGGCACGGCTGAGCAGAAGAGTAAACACGTCCTCCAAACCAGCAAAGGATTCATATTTCTCCTAAGCGGTCGCCACTTAAGTACTAATCTAACCCGGGAGTCGTTCAACAATTAAGTCCCATTTGCCGCAAGCACTTGACTAGGGCCTAGGGCTACTTACTCCTTAGTTCAGTAGCCTGCGACAGGCTCCAGGTCGGCCATTACAAACTGGTACAAATGGAACTACAAAGCTGCGACAGACAGAGCAAAAAGAAAAAACGTCGCAGGACCTAAGGGGCCGCCGCTTAAAACGAAAAACTTGGGGTCTCGGTCGGGCAGGCAGGGTGGGAGTGCGGCCCCCAGGACCGAGGGCCACAGGGCCCCTCCCCGGCCCGCCCGCCCGCCCGCCAGCAGCACAGAAAGGAAAACACCCCGCGACCTCCGGCCGCCGCCGCCCGCACCCCGAGGCCCCCGCGCCCCCCGCCCCGGCGACCGTCTCAATCAGCCCGCCCGGCCGCGCCCGCGCTCCCTCACCCCTCGGGCCGCACGCGAAGCCGCCCTGGACACCAGCGCGGCCCCCAGCGCACCCCGAGGCCCAGACGCAGCAGCGGCGACGCCGGCCGCCGCGGGCTGCTAAGCCCGGCTCGGTGGGAGGCTCCCGACGCTGCCCTCACCCATCTCCACCTCCCCACTCGCCCCCGCCTCCGCCTCCTCCTCCCGAGGCTGCGCTGCTCCCAGCCACCCCCACTCTCCGCGTCCCTCGACAGGAAAGACAGCGGGGAGAAGCCTCACCCGGTTCTGGCTGCAGCTCCGCGGAACGAACCTCCCCTCCCCCGGCCCACCCCCCTTCGGCGACACGCACAACTCCGCTCGGTCCAGTCCCGGCTTTAGCGCTGGTGAGGAGGAGGCAGAGGAGGCGGCGGCGCGGCGGAGCCCGGGGAGGCCCCGCCCTCCGCACGCTCATTGGCGGAAGGCGAGGGCGGCCCGGAATGCCTCGGGCAGGTTCCATTGGCCCAGACGGCCGTCTTTCAGGATCCTCCTCGGTGAGGTAGTCACAGCGGCTGTCCGTCAGACCTGGGCCACGCCCTCGGGCAGGCCGCCCCCTCCCCCCTCCCCCTCCCCCCTCGCCCCGCCTACAGCCCGGGGCTGGCCCGGCCCGTTCTCTCTCTCCCTCCCTCCCTCCCTCCCTCCCTCTCTCCCTCCCTCCCTCCCTCCCTCGCTGCCCCCGCCCCGCCCCGCCCCGCCCCCACTCGCGGGGTCCGCCGGGGTCAGGAGCCCGGGTGGCGCTGCCCGCAATACCGCTCGCGCTTCGGCCTTGGGCCCGGTGATCGTCGTCGAGGCTTCCCGCGGGCCGGGAGCTGGACACTGGGCCTTGGCCTCCAGACGGTCGCCGCGGCCCCCTACCACTCTGTCTTAGGAGAGACGCGGCCTCGATGTCCCCGCGTCCTCCCTGTCCAGGCCCCGGCGACTGGCGAGCCCGGCAGTGCCTGCGGCGGACCTAGGGGGCGAGCCCGGCTGCAGCTTTTAGGGGACGAGTGTGCGGGCGGCCGTGCAGACGCTTCCACCTTGCCTGGCCCGTGGGAAGAGTGTCCCACCTCCGCCATGGCTGCGGCGAGAGGAGACGTCGGCCTCCATTTTGTGGGATCTGTTGGGAAAACTTGGGGCCCATCAGAACCGAACCCGTGGGAACGAGAAACTTGGCCCGAACGAGCCGGATCCGCTCTACCATAGGCCTTCCCCTCGGCCGCTAAGGGCGTGCGCGCCTGGATTGCGGCGGGGCCACACGACGGTGCGGGCCCCAGACTGCCGCCGGGCAAGATGGAGCCGCGGGCTCCCTTAGCGGGCTCACGCCCCTGGGACCTGGGCTGTCTGGGCTCGGCCGTCGGCGCCTAACCGAGCACGCGCTCCCAGGCCTGCCCGGCGCCTGTCCTCCACGTTGACAGGGCCTCGGGACATCGCATGCCTTTCGCTACAGTCCTGGCCCGGTGGGCAGTGACTCTCACGGGAGTCCTACTGGGAGCATTTAGCGGAGTCGCTGGAGGGCGGCACGAGGGTCTTTTGTTCCTCGTCTACACCTACGCTTTTGGCCGAAGACTTGGCTATTGATTTTCAGGACTCCTTGTAACCTAAGAAATGCACCTCGCCCTGGTGGTTGTTAGCGGGACTACAACGGATGTTT